GTAGAAATAGGTAATAAGGGTTAAATAGAATATAAAGGGAGATAGGTGATGAAAGATAAAAACAATAATAGGCCTTAACTTACTGGTACTATTGTACTAGACGATGACGTCATTTAGCGGAGTATAGATGACAACCATTAACTATTCTAGGTAGTTCAGTGAAATGATAGCAGGCTCGCAACATGTATTGTTTTTTAACTATGTGTTTACCAGATGTACTCTAAAACCTATTGACATGTATTGTGGGTGGATTCCCTAAAATAATATCGTGAATAAATAAGATGATCCCTAGGATAAATCCTTAGGAATAAATATAGAAGAAAACATACTAACAAGTATCATGGAGGAATCCCTGAACTAGTATTGTCAGCATTGATGATCCTTAGGGTAGATCCTTAAGAATAAAGAAGATAATGAGGATGGGAAATTGGGTTAATTGTTTGATAATTAAACATATTAACTATATTATTGTGGGGTCAAAGTCTTGTGTACTCATCAGGTTTCCCAACCTGACTCACTCAGTTTATTGTATCACAGGTAGCGATAAGAAAGATACATTCCACTGAGAGATTTAAAGAGTATAAAGCCAGTAGTTTAATTATTGTAAGACTTGTAATATTTCGTTATGCTTATGTTTCCGTATTGACTGTGACATCCCAACGTTTTAATATAAATAAACTACATTTCTTCGAAATGCTTTGATAATATCATTATCATATTTTTTGGAACAAATTCCCAATATTATTCCTCAAAAAGGATACTCTGATTTTAAATAAGCATAAATAAATCAGACTTTTCTGACAGTAAAATTGGAGATGTCACACAACAGCTCCCACTTACACAATTCACTAACATTATATGGTCTAATATTCACTAGTAATGAGTAAAGAGTATACAGTTAAATGTACATGTCATACTCACAACATAGAATTGTGATATAGCCCTTAAAAAAGTGATCAAATATTCTTTTGTTCTTCTATTATATATATATATATATATATATATATATATATTATATATATATATATATGGAAAAATTCAATAGAGAACCATAATTTTTGGTTCTCCAATGAACCAAATCTTTTTTTAAGTTCTAGAGCTTATTCTTTATCGAAAAAAAACTAAAAATATCTAAATTCATAACTTAACATTGTGAATGTTAAATATATTTTTCGGATTTACCGTTTGAATTTAGATTCACATTGTGAATTTTCAAAGATTCACATTGTGAATTTGACGAAATTTTTTTTTATCGAATTTGATATCATTGGAAAAATGATAAAAAGTTATGAATTTCTGTATTTTTAGTTTTTTTTTTTTTTGACAAAAAATAAGTTCTAAAAGTTAAAAAAAAAATTGGTTCCTTGTTTAATTATGGTTCTCTATTAAAAAATAGCATTTGAATACAAATATTTGTTTAAATTTAGATTTTGGCGTACTATAGATAATATCATTAATGACAAAATTGGCGATAAAAGTAATAGGTGTTCTATAATTTGGTCCTGCAAGTTCAAACATTGCTAAAATAATGGAAGTAACGCGACATCCATATTTGTTCTACCCAAAGAAGATGTATTCAAGTTATCTACTCATTTTCATAAACCTAAGGTTATTAATACCAACGATAGGCAAAACGATAGTTTATTTTTTCACAATACAAATATGTTGATAAAATACCAACTAACCCTATATATATATATATATGTTTGATGTCCACTAAAAAGGAAATTAATCGGCAAAACGAAACTATTAACCACCCCCAAATTTGCCGTCCGTAGCATCGAATGAGTACATATATATATATATATATATAAACCATTTAAATTTTTATGTCTATTAATTCTAATTGGACACGACACGCGAGCACGTAATACCTATAATTAATACGGGTGAGCAAAAACCGAACCGACTAAAGAAAAACCGACAAAACCGCAACCGAAAAACCGAAACCGATACAAAAACCAATGGTGCAGATTTAATTTTTGCAAAAACCGAAGGTCAACGGGTGCGGTGCGGTTTCTATCCAAAAACCGGTCCACCAAAACCGAACCGCACCGCAAGCGTGTATAGTAATAAATCAATCAATGTATATTATATACATGCTATTTAAAATACTTATAAACAATAATATATTTATTATATGTTTATTTTTGTGTTTGTGTAAGACTATATGGGGTGCAAAAGAAATGTTCTATTGTTAGCCAAACGTACAAATCGATTACATGTAATAAGCATGTAACAAATTAAGTCAAAATCAACCAACTTTCAGTTATTAATTAGTTTGTGAGAGTAATAACATGTTGTATTTTAAGCGACTTACAATTTTTGATTATGTATTTTTGTTTTGAGCTGAAAATGAATGGTTTAAAAAAACAGCACAATACAAGCTTACATGCACATGGTTTTCAATTCTTACAGTTTTAAAAAACCGCACCAAAAAACATAAAAAACTGCACCGAATTCTAAACACGGTTTAAAACCGAAACCGCACCGATACGAACCGAAACCGCATTTAAAAACCGAAAAACCGAACCATTTCAAAACCGCACCCAACGGTTTTAAGAATGCAAAAACCGCACCATGCGGTTTGCGGTTCGGTTTGGTCTTAAAACCGCACCAAACAGCACCATGCTCACCCCTACTAATTAATACATTCAATCAACAAGATCTAATTCGTTGACTTTTAATTAATTAATTAATTAATCGACTAACTAAACCAATAAACATAATATTTTTCAACTTAAGTAAATTTGACAAATTTGCATGTTGAATTTAATCGAGTGAGATAACTTATGAATTAAATTGAGTCAGATAACTTACGGGACAAGTAAACTGAGGCAACAATATTTTGCAAAAATAATTTTTTTTAAATAGTTTTTCTAAAGCTTACTTTAATTTAAATAAATACTAAATTTAATAAATTATAACAATAAAAAATCACCTCCAAATTCAATGTAAAGTTGTCCAATTTTACTATTTTAGTAAGTTCGTAAAAATAATTTTTCAAAGATATTGTTATTAAAAGGTCACTTTTTTTTTCAAGGAATCCAAACATTTATAAAAACTAAAAGATTAAAATTTGTATTCTCTAAAGTCAAAAGGACATATATTTTTATATACATCCTATATTATGAAGTTTTAATAAGAAATTCTTAAAAAATGGAGCTATTTAGATATCATATTTTATTTTACAATAGTATAAGTTTTTAAAAAAATAATGTTGTAATTCATATGATTGAAAATGAGATTATTTAACAAAAATGATTCATAAATGTTATGAGTCAATATGTTTAGATCAATTGATTTGTTATGATTCAAACATATTACGATTGTGATTTAAAATCATATGATTTAAAAAAATATTATGATCCAAAACTCACAATAAAACAAAAACTTGATTTTGTTGAAAATATTCCATAATTATATGTTCTATTTGATCCTGATCCAAAATTCTATAAAGAATAATTTGTTTTGAACTAAAGTTTATACCTAAAAAAAATTAGCACGTTTATGAAACTTAAATTTATGATCTAAAAATACTTTCTTTCAAAATATTATTATTATTAATCTTTTATGATTCAAATATTTTATAATTTCTAAACTATACATTATATTTTATAATCCTTAAACTTTACACTCAAACTTTACGCATCACCTGTCTTTCAAAAAACTAAAACAAAATTAAAAAGTAAAAATAAATAAATAAATAAAGAATACACAAAAACCTAAATTGAATTAATAACATTATGGAAAACAAAAAAAAAATGCTTTTAAAGAAATTAGAAAAGACAAATAAAGTAAAAAGCATTTAAAACAAGTTTAAATATATTAAAAATAAGAAAATTAAACAAATAAAACAAATAAAAACTTTAGATTGTAATATCACATCATCAAGTCCGTATTAATGTATTTTGTTCGACTGATGTGTGTCGCATGTGATCGGAGTCATATTTAAGGACTGGTTTAACATTGGAGAAGTGATTCCTACACAACAGTTTTTTGTCATATACAACAATTTATGCATTATAGAGTTGTACAGTACAATATTTTAAAATATCAGTTATTATGTATTGTGTATTCGGACCTCATATTTGGAATTGTATTCGAACCTCATATTTGGAATTGTATTCGGACCTTATATTTAAAAATGTGCATTAATATTAATATGTATTCATCCACAAAACTACATATTAACAAGTACAAGTACTTCTCAAACTCAATGATCGATAAAAATCGAGAAACAACACTAAAGTCAAGGTTTCAATAGTTGCGGTTTTAAGACAAAACCGAAACGCATACCGCATGCATCGATTTTTTTAATCTTAAGCCGTCATGTGCGAGGTTTTAATCTCAATGATTGAATTGGATTTTTTTTTAATCCAATTCAATATCTAAGTTGGTTTATCAGTATACCATATAAGACATAATTCCATAACACCCATCGCAAAAGATTAAGGAACAAATTTCGGTTTGTTCTTACACCATATAAGACACGATTCCATAACACAGGTCGCAAAAGATTAAGGTGCAAATTTCGGTTTATTCTTACCATTTGCCTTTCATCTCCTTTCTTTATGGGTCTATCAAATTTCTCCTTGAATCCATTAGATGTAATCATGTAATTCATTTCTAGAATCGACAGAATGAAATAATATTCTAAAGATTTCAATCATGTTTTAATGGCAATCGTTTTAACTTTTAAGCACATCATCTATTGTTTTTGTTTTAAGCACTACCATCTATTGAAAAGCAGACCATAACATCTAATGAATATACGTAACAAGTTCTACCATTTAACATATCTCACTAAACAATATCCCACCAAAATTTAAACCTTACTAGAACCATAGATTTCCAATTGACCCAAATTGAAACAAGACAAGATTAAGCCTACTAACAAGTAAATCACCATAATCTCCATATAACCAAACCATAAACAAAAAGCACAGCAGTGTCGCAATAGAACCTTTGCTATACATGATTTTCCACCATCTTTTTAATCAACTCTTGGAATAAGCTCTTTCATTCTCCACCTTCTGTGCAAAAACCTTTGTTGCGACCATATTATCATCAAAATATCTGGTATAAGGATGTCCCTTAGGAACAAGCCTTCTGTACTTTTCAAAACTCTTCTCAGCATCATCGTTCTTTCCTAACAATGTGTATATAATGCCTTGACATAAATAGGGCCTAAAATCTCGAGCCTCTTCTTTGGATAAATCCTGATAAATCTTTAAAGCATCGTCATAATCTCCTTGGATTACACGGATTTGAGCTAGCAGAAGCTTGAAATCCCTCAAATCATCTTTCTTCTTTTCTTTCTTACACTTCTCCATTCCCTCGATGATTCTTTTCTCCACATCTTTCAAATCATTGGGCGATTCTTTAGCGGAAGCAGCCATTACCAAACCATGGTAAGCCTCCACGCGTAAAGGGTCTTTTGCTAGAATCTGTTCAAACCCTAATTTCGCAGAATCATGATCTCCGCTGTATGAATGCAAATGATACTTGAGTAATTGCCATTCGCTGTCTTCAGGTTCCAGGTTAATCAGCTGAGTGAGAATTCCAATAGCTTCATGAACCTTTCCGTTCTTAATTTTCAATTCCATTAGGGATTTCAAAGCGTTGATGTCTTCAGGGTGAGAGCAGAGATGTTCTTCTAGGTTTTTTTCCTCTTCTAGTGATTCGGAGTTGGTATCGGCGGTTTCTACGGTGGCGGGAGGTGGAGGTGAAGAGACAGGAACGGCAATTGCGGGTTTGAGGGTAAAACGCGAGAAGCAAAGTGCGGTGACGGCGACACCAGTGATGAAGGTGGTTTTGAGGAAGGATAATGGGGTAGGGTTTACGATTTTTGTCACTTCTGGTTTAGGGGTTTGGTAGTTAGGGTTACGGAAGGAGGCTTTGATGGGTGTTAACGATGAAAACGATGTTGTTTTCAGGAAAGCGATGGATTTCGACGAGGGGCGGCGGTGATGTTGGAGGGAGAGGGGGCGTGGGAGGTGGCGGTAGGTGGCATTTGTAAGAGCCAATTCCATTGGTTCGCTAGGGCTGGTGGTGATGGTGGTGGTTGTGACAACGGCGGAGGTGGCGGTCGTTGAGAGGGAGAGAGGGGAGGCTAAACCCTGGTAGCGGCGATAATGGTGAAAGTGTCAGAATATGCTTTGAAGATATAAACCCCAGAGTGAATAAACGAAATCACATTTTTACGTTTTAAGCCCTTCTAGTTTTGAAAATCAAAAAACTGAATAATAGTGTGTAATCTAGTAGGAGCCAATTTGTAAAACTTGAGACCCGCTTCTATTTAGCGAATTAGGCTGGAGGGAGTGGTGTCATCGAAACCGCATTCCCTCCACCGTCACATAAGCGTCACGTCATTTTTTACCACACAAGTTGGTTTTTTTGTCACACCAAGGGAGTGGTGCCACACTTTTATTTTATTATTATTTTTTGTTTTTTTAGCTATTTTAATTAAAACTTATTTTTTAATAAAAAACATAATTTTTCATTACTTGAAAATTAAAAAAAAACATTACATTGAAGATTCAAAAAACATTACATTGCATTACCAAAAAAATAAAAATAAAAAAATAAAAAAATAAAAAAAAACGAAAAACACACACATGACATTAAAATAATCCTAGAAACTTAAAAAAAAAACGAAAAACACACACATGACATCGTATATGTTGTTAAATATAGGTGGACGATTAAGAACGTTGATGTCGTTAATCGAACCAGGAGAACCAAAAAAAACATGTCAAATCCACAGATCTTGTGATGCAACTGCTTCAAGTATGACCGTTGGGTGACCATGATCACCTCGGGTAAATTGCCCATGATACGACGTAGGACAATTTCCCATGCCCAATGGAGACAATCTAAGCTTCCTAGCATTCCAGGAAACCCGTGCACACTAGCATGATGAGCTTGCAATTGTAAGATGTCATTACGTGTAGGCTTACGTAAATATTTTGGACCATAAAACTGAATCACAGTTTGGCAGAAAAAAGTGGAGAATGTCTCGTGCGATCCTAGCATACATCCTAAAACTTTCGTCTAACGCATCAGGCGGAATGCCATATGCTAACTGAAGAAGTGCGGTCGTGCATTTTTGTAAGGGAGTGAAACCGGGTGTACCTCTAACATCGTAGTGTAACATCCGGATTCCCTGGTATGTTATTTAATTATTTATTTATTTTGAGGTTCATTGATCTACTCGACGAGTTGGTGTTATAACTCGTCGAGTAGAAGCGTGGTGGCCACGTGGGTTTAATGATCTACTTGACGAGTCCGAGAGTAGACTCGCCGAGTAGGCGCTGGGAGTGAAAACCCTAGATCCCCGGGTTTGAGACCTATTTAAAGGCACTTATAGCCTCCTTTGCGGCCACCTTCCCCAGAGAGAAACCCTAACCTGCCCTTTTCGTTGCATAGAGAGAGAGAGAGGCCATCTTGAGCATTCTTGGGCTTTTTTGGAGGAAAGATTGGAAGAGTTGGTGGATCTAATCAAGAGGAGGTTGTGGATCTTGCATTCTTCTGTCATTAGCTGCTATTTAGAGGTATAAAGCTCTCATCTTGACTTCTTGTTTGTTGGATCCCATTTTTGGGAGCTTTTAGGGTTTTCTTCCAATCATCTTGTATTCTCGAGTTATTTGAGCATGGTTTGAGGTTAGGACCTCAGATCTGGTCTATAAAGAGGCCTTGAGAGCCCAAAGATCCAAGCTTTATTGAGCTAGAGGCAAGCTCATGTGCATCCAACCTTCTTTGGAGCTTGTAATGGCATATTGGAGCAAATATGTCATGCATGAACGTAAAGATCGAAGCTTTACGTGACATTCGAACCTAGGGAGTCTAGATCTAGAGTTTGGAGTGATAGATCTGCCCTAAAACGTCTGTATGGGAATATAGACTGGATGAACTCGCCGAGTCCATGAACCGACTCGACGAGTCGCTTAGGGTTTATACCGATAAGTATGAGCACGTTGTAACTCGACGAGCTGATGGGCCTACTCGACGAGTAGAGTTGGTTTTCATAAGGTCTCTGAGGGAACGAGGGGACTCGACGAGTCTTCCCTATGCACTCGATGAGTTGAGTCAACATGGACTGTTGACTCAAGTTTGACTTCTGTTGACTTTTGGAGTTTTGACAAAATGTGAGTAATGGAGACCATGGAGGGGTATAAGGGTCTTTTGCCCTTACCAAGAGTTAAAGAGGAGTTAGTATGAAATTATTAGAATTATGGTCTAATTAGAGATAATCATCACATGTATTAGGCGGAGGTTAGATCGGTGATTCGTGTACGAGGTGTATTAGCTTGCTCGCTTCGAGGTGAGTCTTCTCACTATACTTTACCTAGAGTGGTAACTATGTGTGACCAGAGGGTCTTATGTGCTTGCTTGAGTTATGCATTTTATGTGTGATATATATGTGTTGTATGTTATATTATGTGATACATAGACCGGACCGGAGGGTCCAACGTATTATGAGACCGGAGGGTTCTCAACCAGACCGGACCAGAGGGTCCAACGAGCCATGTGACTGGAGGGTCCCACTGAGACACGTTGACCGGAGGGTCTTACAGAGCTATAGCCTCGAGCGGCTAGTTATTGTGCGGGGTATTTTGGGGAACTCACTAAGCTTTGTGCTTACCGTGTTATGTGTTATGTGTTTCAGGTACCTTAGAGGATCGCGGGAAGGCACCGACTTGATTGTACACACACACCTGAGCTGGAGATTATATTTATTGTGGATCCTGGATTTGTGAAAAACTATTTTGAAATATGTTTTGACATTGATACTTGAGGTTTTCGAGAATTATGATATGTGATTGTGATAATTAAAAATGAAAAATTTTGTTTGAAAATTTACGTTGTTACAAGTTGGTATCAGAGCCTGGGTTTGAGGGATTCGGACGCACCTTCGGGTATGTCTGGACTCAAACTAAAGATTTGAGAAAATTTCTCAAAAGAAACAATTTTTCTAAAAACGAGCAAGAGTTCTAAGAGAAAAATGAGAAAGAGCGGTGTGTACAATCAGCCAGAGCCCGAACGGTGATTTCCCAAAATACCCTTACTTTCTGTGTTATGAGATATATTATGCATGCTAGAGGGTATAGGTATTTCATATTTTAGGACTAGAGTGGCCTGATTTGTGATACCTTAGCCTAGGAGTTACTGCTACCTGTGATTTGCTTTGAGGACGAGTATGTAGCAGGAATGAGCTAATGAGAGTAGGCGGTGTTCGGCGAGATATAGAGTACTTGCGATCTGGAATCCAAGGAGGAGGACTTGGGGTGATTACAGACGCGGTGTGAAAGGTAGTATTGGGCCCGTACTACTGGAAGCACCGGGTCGGTGAGCAGTCCAAGTAAGAATCCTTGGGATGCCAAGGAACAAGTAGGGGAAGTGATCGAGTGTGAGTATACTCGAGCGAGTCTCTGATTATTTTGTGTTGTATTTCAGAGGCATCATGGTGGGTACGCGCCATAACCCAGGGGGCAGTGGTACCAGTGGTACCAGCGACGATGAGATTCGGAAGATGATTCATGAGGAGGTGGCCGCAGCCATCCGAGCAGAGATTCCCAAGATGTTTGGGTCTATCAAGACCACCCTGATTGAGACATTTGATGAGCGATACACTGCTGTCACTAAGGCTGCTATTGCTGCAGCCACCGCAACTGTCGTTGCTGCCAGGCCACAGGGGGGTGACTCGTTGCTGTATCGGGAGTTCAGCAACACGAAGCCACCCGACTTTGATGGGACTCAGGATCCTATTGTCGCGATGAGATGGATTTCTGATATCGAGGGGTGTTTCTACACTTGTTATTGTCCGGAACATTTGAGGGTAGAGTTCGCGTTGAACCAGCTTCGCTTGGGGGCGAAGGATTGGTGGAAGTTTGTGACAGCCAGTTTCACTCCTGCAGAGCACACTGCAGTGACATGGGAGAGGTTTACTATGATGTTTCGAGATGAGTATGTTCCCCCGGTGGAGAGGGAACGGTTAGCCCATGAGTTTCTGTCCCTCAAATAGAGGACAGAGTCTGTGACAGTGATCACGAGGATGTTCCATGAGAGGGCGTTGTTCTGCCCTGAGCACGTGTCTTCTGAGCAGGCACGCATGAGCCGATATTTGAGCATACTGAGGAGGGACATTTGTGAGTTCGTGGCGAACTCGACTTACCGGACATTTTCCGAGCTCCAGGAAAATGCCCAGAAGAGGGAGATCGAGCTACAGACTCAGGCTAGGGAGGAGGCGGAGTCTCAAGGGAGGGATCTGTTGGATTAATGTCTAAGTCCATAACTATATTTGGTATGTACTTGACCCGACTCGGCATGGTCCATTTGGGTTGCACTTCACCGACACAATTTATATGGATAGTCTTTTGAAAATAGTATATTTATGATTTATATTAATATATTATAAGTTCTAATATATTAATATATAATCATATTATTTAATTAGTATTGATCAAGAATTAATTAAGTGATCAAAAGGAACTAATTAAATATGGACTCTTAGATATATATATATATATATATATATATATATATATATATATATATATATATATATATATATATATATATATATATATATATATATATGTATGTAGTGGGCCAAGTTCATTTAGGTTGGGCTAAGTCTTCATGGATAGTCCATGGAGCTTTAACCCATGGATCCTAGGAAATGAAAGGTCATGGGTATTAGGGTTTAACCCTAATCCTCCACACTATATAAAGGGTCTTATGGTTCATGAAATTAGGCTAGTGGCTAGTGTGGATACACTAAAGAGGGCAATAACCGATTTCATAAGTGTGAGCCAAGTATCCATATTCTCTAAAGGTTTTCCAAGGTGTTTTGGTGATTTGTGATTCCACTTGAGGCTTCCACACTATTGGGGCTAAGCTCTTAAAGTTCAAGACTTCAAGCTTCATTAAAAGGTATGTATTCTAACTTGTTATATTACCCAAGTATCAAGGATTGTATGCTAGATAGGGTAATACCTTGGAATATTAATATTTGCATGTATAATAGAGA